GAGCCTAGTTCCAGATAGGATGGGGGAAGGTAGAATCTCCACTGAATGGTTTCCAATCTATTGGGATGGGGCTAATAAAAGGAGATGGGGATAAGACTCATGTGGTACAATACCTTAGGGATGGAGGCAGAGATGATGATGTGGACAGATGGAGCAGCTGGGGACACTAGAGTAGGGGGGAAAAAGAACTGTATGCTGACGGCTGGGGAGGCATGCCTGTGGGGTGTATCCTTTGGTTGTTTGATGATGCATGGAGGGGGTTGTAATCATTGCAATGAAATGAAATACGATAGAATGAATGTAAAGCTGATGTCCTCCCATGTAAACTCACATAACTCACAATAAAAACTTAAAAAAAAAAAAAAAAAAGAGGGAGCCTATATCCACAGGGCACGAAGGAAGGTAGAATCTCCACTGAGTAGTATCCAATCTGTCTGGGCAGGGCTGATGAAAGGAGATGGGATAGGTCCCTTGTGATACAATAGTGAATAAATGCTATCAGGATGGACTGTGAGGGTTGGAAATGTAAAGGTAGATGTTTTGTAGCACAAGGAGGGGAATGATTGACTTTGCTGTCCTGGAACGGAGGTCCCTGGGACCATCAAGGGAGAAGAGCGGAGTGCGGGACCCTACTCAGAGAAGCAGTGATGCCAGAGATGAAGGCAGAGACAATGATGTGGAGAAATGGAGCGGCTAGGGACTCTAGACCCAGAGAGGGAGAGGGGCTGTGTGCTGATGACCAGGGGGGCAGGCTTGCAGGGTATACCCTTTGGTTGGTTGATGATGCATGGAGGAGATCGTAACCATAGCAATGAAACAATATACAATAGGATGAATGTAAAGCTAATGTTCTCCCATGTAAACTATCACATAATTCACAATAAAACACTAAAAAGAAACGGCTTCCTTATGTGCATTTATTTGGTGAGCTCTACAATTTTGGTTTAAAAGTAAAGTAAAGTACAAGTGGAGAAACTGAATGGACGGCACCTAATGACAACAATCACGAGGGATGGGTAGGAAGTGATAGAAAATTAAGAGTTTTGTCTGCAGGATTTACTCTAAGAGGTCATTCACCTGCAGCCAGTGGGCCGAGTGCTGCCCACTACCTACTTTTGTGGAGTCCTGGTATCAGGCTGTAAGGTATGCACTTGACTGCAGGATCAGTTTAAACCGCAAGGTGGGTGGTTCAAGTTCACCAGCCACTTCTCAGAAACCCTATACAGGGTTGCTACGAGATGAAACTGACTTAACAGTTTGTAACAACACACAACGGATGGCCAAATTTCATCTCTCATACTTCAGACATATTGTCAGGAGGGACCAGTCGCTGGAGAAGGATATCATGTTTGATAAGGTGGAGGGTCAGAGAAAAAGAGGAAGACCCCCAGCGAGATGGATTGGCCAAGTGACAGCACCAATGGGCTCAAGCGTCCCAACGGTTGTGAGGTTGGCTCAGGACCGGTCAGTGTTTCGTTCTGTTGTGCATAGCATCGCTATGAGGTGGTACCGACTCAATGGCACTAACAACAACAAC